AACAAGGATCTTCTTCTTCAGCTAGTATCGTAGAAGGAACGATAGTTCATTCTCGAATCCCTGACGCATTATGGTCGCGAGTGAGAGAGAAGAGAGAATTTCAGATGGCGGTCATTCGTCGTGCGAAAATTTCTCGCAGCTCGTTCGTGGTTATCACTAGCGCGTTCCAAGATATCTCGTATTTATTTCTCCCCGGGGAGTTCCCGTGCCCGTCTGTTCTCGAATTTCCTTCCCTCGTTTCGAATGAAACTCGCCGTTTCGCCCGGCAGAACACGTTGCACTGTTCCCACGGACGCAGTTTGTCTTCACGATCGCGTGAAAAATGATTTTTGTATCTCATTCTCTTTCAGCTGCGTTTCTTGCCCACCGAATAAGCAAATACTTCTCTCAGATTGCTTATGCGCCGTGCAAACATCATCAAAGAGAATCATCCTTCGAAGAGAATCGGAAAATAGCTTGATTCTCGTCAAACTCAACTGTCGTTATTTGCGTTGAGAAGAGACATGAAATGAACAGAGACGTGTATGTCTTTGACGGAAGAATTTTTTTTTTTTTTGCGCCTTCCCCTTTATTGATCAAGATCTTTGTTTACTTTGAGAATCTACGTGGGTTCGAAACGCTGTGAAATTTGAAATTTGAAATTTGAAATTCGAGCCTCTGGGGATTCTTCGCTTGGGGGATTCCGTCTTCGAAATATATAATAATTTTGTCTTGAAGAATGTCTGTTAAAACGAGATCAAATGTCGTGAAATTGTTCACACGGAGTTGAGCCGGGAGAAGAAACGGATCGATCAGTTTGCACTTTCTAATTACGCGAGAATTCGTTTTCAATGTTCTCTGCGCTGCCTAATTTTATCAATCGGCGAGTCGCGAGAACAGGGATGGACGCTGGTAGCGTACAAAGAAGACTAGCTAACAAATGAACACGAGGATGGCTTTAAGACCTTTATTTATTTAATTAAAACTCGCGGATAAAAGAAAAGCCAAAAAGAAAAAAAGGAGAAAGAAAGACTGTTTGTACCTTGTATTATCTTGCCGGGGGAATAAAGGAGACACATCGCATGATGCACGAGCTTTGTGACGCCTCGTCCGAAATTCTCCAAGTTCTTGACGGAGTTTAATTAAACATTCCGCGCCTCTGGAATTTTGTGGTCATCCCGATCCCTCTGTACTGAAACTCCTTCTAATGGGTTCTGCCGTTTGAATCTTGATACGTATGCAGGCGATGCGTCGTATCAACGCGATTTCATTTCCTCGTGCTTGATCGCCCTTCTTTTTTTTTTTTTGGCCCTTATATCTTTTTGGTTAGAAGAAGAAGCTCGAGTCTTTTATGTAGGCCAGAAGCAAATGCGAATTGGCGTTCTCAAGTTCACGATCCTCATCGTTCCGATCACACGTCTTAAGTATTTGCGTGAGATGTTTGAAATAGGATTATCTCGGGAGAAATCTCATTTGAAGTCGTCAGACGAATCTGTAATGAAGGAGGAGTCAATTAGCAAGCATTGGCAAGCCGATAAAGCAGGAGATCTCCGCCCCTTTCAATGTCAGACTCCTTGAGGATCGATTAAATCACGGCTGTTCCAGTCAGTCGAAACGTTGTTCCCTCAGATCTAATTTTGGTGCTCGAGGATCGCGATTTCGTTCAAATCGACCATTTAGCCTCTCGACTGGAGGAGAAGCGACGAGAGTGACGTTAGTATTTTAAATAAATTTCAATCGTTGCGTCTGCGACGACGCAAAGCATCGTCGAGAATTGCCGAGGGAGAAACCGACCGTTCTCTAATAATTCTCTGCTGAATTTTCTGCTTCCTCCCTTTTATCAATCGAACGTTCAGAAGAGTCGCGAGACGTGAAAACAGAGTCGAAGAAATTGAATAAGATACGATGTTTCAACTCAGTGATCGAGCCGCTTGTAATCCGGCGCAAGAACGATTAGAAACGGAAGCACCGCAATCGGCGAATTAATTAACGTATTAATCGAATAATTGGCCTCAAGCCGGGGATTCGCGGTAGATCTACAGGGGAAACTTCCTTTCACAGGACTAATTAACCCGTCGAGAGTTGTGAAAAAGAATTTTCTTCCTTTGCGTTGGATTGTCGGGACCGTCGTGCTTGACTGTACTGAAATAGAAAATAAAACGAACGACTCGAATGTTCGTTTCAGAACTGTTTACCATCGAGCTTGCACAAAAATTCGAGGGGCAAGATGAAAGTGATATTAAGTTAATTTGACGGAGCATCACTATTTGTTTCTTTCGAACTGGAAAAATGGTACCTCTGTTGGCCAATTAATTAGCCAATTAAGGGAAAAAAAAAGGTTCCTGGTAACTCTGATAATATTAATCGGGTCTGGCAATACTCAATTGGCGTGCGTTTGAAAAGTGACACATCATAATTGAATATTAATTAAAAAAAAAAGAAAGAAAAAGTTGCGATGTTTGTTCATTTCACTCGGTGAAGTTCCACACAGTGATGAAATTATGATTTCACCTCGAAACAAAATGGCGAAAACTTGTTTCACTTTTGCACGAAAATACGAAGGAACTTCTTCATCGACGCGATATTCCAATTGTTTGGAAAAGACTTGGAAAGAAATGGGGTGTTTAAAAGTATAAAAAAAGAGAAAGAACGTGACATTGATATTGTTTACGCATTTATTACAAGAGAACGAAATGTTTCTTTGGTCCGAAAATCAGGGGTGAGTTTTACGAAAAGATGCGTCTCTCTTACATGATTTGTTTCTACGCGCTTCGCGATTGGAAAAGTCACGAGTTTTAATGTCGTGTTGGAATAAATCGTTTATTTCTCTCTCTCTCTCTCTCTCTCTCTTTTTGTCAAGAAGAGTTTACTTTAATTCTTGTTAATTGTGTGTTTCAGGTCGAATTTTCGAATCGATATCAATTGGACGAATGGATTTCAACCGTTCAAATTCGACACGAGTCTAAAACTGAGTTCGAAACTTTTGCCATGATTGATCAACGCATCCGATGCTCGTACAATATGTTTGGTACAATAGTGCGCCATACGTCGTTTTCGTTACGAGTAAATTACCTATATATACACGTACATTCGGTTCGTGTCGGCTTAACAATCATGCTTAAATAGAATCCAAGTGTCACGATCAGTCGACCATATCAACATTATCGAGGCAAGCTTTCGTTCGAAATTCTCGCTGCGTTTAACCGAATCGATTTCGAGGACAGTTGGCTTGCCAATCTCTCTCTCTCTCTCTCTATCAATGAAAAAGAAATTTTGTCCAGAGGAAAATTGTTCGACAGGTATCTCGAAGGCTCTCGATAAGTAAAAGAAGATTCAATTACATCGGCCAAGAATACGAATGGTGGTCGACTGTTCCGATAGCGTACAGAAAGATCCAGATCTCTCTCTCTCTCTCTCTCTCTCTCTCTCTC